TTGATTCGTAAAACCACCCCTCAGAATGGACATTGTAACCAACACTTTGGAATCAATCAAACAGTACATTTATAAACCACAATGCCTCAACTCAGTAACAATACATACAAAATAAGAAAAATATTCCTCATAAGAGTAATTTCGGGGCACCAGAAGGCGGGTATTCTTGATAGGTAGTAGCTACACATCCTACACCCTCAATCGAAGAAGTTGTTATTATAGAACAGGAAAACCGAGAGTGGAACGTAGCTAAACTTTCTGTCTGTTGTCCCAGAGGCTAAAAACCACAAACAGAATGTATAGACACACTGAAAGATTCATCACACAGATGTCACGTTGAGGAGTCCGATTCCTTTTCTGAAGCGACTAAAATCCAACTGTTTATGCTGAGCGCCATGGTCAAGGATGAATTTTTGTCCGGGGTCTGAGGCGGCTTCCCCAAAATTCGAAAAGCACCACTAGAAGAAACCATACAGAACATCTCTTTCATTGTGGAGAATACCTTTGCAGGTCAACTGTATTTTCTATTCGATCTCATGTGAACATATCGAGCTCTGAAAATCCGCAATATTTTGATAGAAGCAATAAGCGAGCTAATTTAAGGACAACTCACATCCAACCCATTGAGCCAAGGATTTCAACAAATACATCTCCGCATTCTGAAGGAAATTTCAGCTGCGAACTTGTATATCGTCAGCAAATATGTTTTGCTGACGATATACAAGTTCGCAGCTGAAATTATTCCAATTATATTAAAGTCCATATTCGAGCTAGACGCCAATGGATGCATCATCTGAAACAGTGATGAATGTTCCGTTCTTCAAATTATAAAATTAATTCGAACTTGAACTGATCGTCAAATTCCAGGGAACCTACACAAGCCTCACAGATAAGATTATCTTCGAATTCAAAGAAGAGGTTACGAGCGAAAAGTTGAGGAAAAAAACATAAGTAGTAGTGATGAAAATGGAGTTATTAGTCTCCATGGGTCCAAACATTAGCTCAATGAGGCGAATGCTGAACTAAATACCTCAAAAGCATATGACAACTCAAATATAGTCCGATCGCTGTTCATTTTATGGGCCAATACAAGCTAATACCCAAATGTATCGAGTATGTCGAGTGGGCGATTCGGTGGACTGCCGCAATCTGGCTCAAGAGACGATTATTAAGATAGTTGCGCATCACATTAGACGGCATTGACCTCACATCCTGCAGGTGTTTATTACACCCGTGTTTGCATGCCCTTTTCAGTCTATGGTACTTTCCTATGTAGCAATCGCAACGAAGCTGAGCGAAGTATAATAGTCAGAAAAGAGCAACCATCAAGCTGCTGAACTGATTTTCAACTCGATTCCGATGGGATAACCATTCAAATTGGCCAGACGTAAAACGGTGAGTAAAGTTATACAAATCTACGGAAAAGAAAACTCCATTTCCATTCCAGTAAATCGAACTGAAAGGCATTGAAGTGGCATTAAATTTCTTCGCGTCACAACAGAGGTTAGCCCCAGCGACTTTGCGTGAACTTGTGGGCTTACAAAGTGCCTAAAATGAGGCTGAGCATTGGATGGAATTCTTGCACGCACTTATAGGCAGACATGAGCTGAAGAAGCCATTTTTGTTCTACGGTACATTCCTAAATGTCTTCACAACAACACAATACAAACGCAATTCCATTAATGCCGAGAACATTTTGGGAACGTTGACTTCAGGAAGTATATATAAGCTGCCAAAATGACTTGGGATATAATCAGAGCTGGAATTAATGAAAATTGAGGTGCGAGTTGATTCTACACAAATAAAATAATTAGATAAAAGCTCAAATTAGGAAATGTAAAAGAAAGTGACCACCGTAACGAAACGATATCATATCAGTTTAGAATCCAGATGGAACCCGCCATCGCGCCTCTACCTCGGCCCTTCAAACGCATGGAATTGGAGCGCGCTAGGCGATGGTGGGAGGTTCGTGGTTTCCATCGTTTCAATTTGTAATTCTCGTAGGGACCAGGTTTCACGTATGCATCCCTGTCTATTCCACCGTAAGAGGGTTTTCAAAAAGATGCCGATACGACAAATGTGGATGAAAATGAAAGAGGGTAAGCGATTTAGAGAAGAAAAGCTTGAGGAGAATTCCCTCAAGAACCAAAGCACTGGGACTCGGTTTTGTAGGAGGTTTCAGGGAATGCGAGTAAAATTTGGAGAGTAGGTGCGCTCCTACACATTTATACCCATCTTTTCCAAATACACCACCTGTGAGCTCTAGTTGGCGTGATTTCATAGGTTTTAGTTGCCAGATCAGGTCACTGCAATACTGAACCCCATAACTCGGCCCGCTTACTAGCCAACAACCAAAACATAAACTAGAGGTTTGGAATTTCACAAAGTTACAGTATTTATCGAATAATGAACAATCTAAGGATGTCTTATCGAATGAAAATAGGAAGGTCCAATCATTTGAAAAGCTAGTGCAAAGTTTTTCTAGAAAACTGCCAGGAATAACCGACATGGCCTACATTCACACCCAAAACAAAACGAGTCAAAGAGGTTTTGCACTCGCTTCTTGTCATGTTGCTCCTGTAGGTGCAGATTATCAGATTACTGCCGATTTGGGTTTTTTTTTGGGAGAGTGGATAATATGTGGCAGAGTCTGACAGCCACGCTAATTGCCCGTCTAATTTGTAAAGGATAAATCACCGACATGAATAGTCCTTATAAGTCTTAAGTCTTATAAAAGGCCAAAGCGGATTTACCCGCTGTCTTTTATTCCTTATTATACAACTCACATCGTAATAACTCCCTATAAAAAGACTTTTAAACATCTTTTTTTCGAAAACAAGGCTCACCATGGTGAATTCAAAAGATCTTATTGTTTGTAGACAATGTGCCCCTTCTAGTAGCCTCTATAAGAAAGGGATTACCGAGGCTGTTACGCAACCGGACATATGTGTCGTTGGAAAGTGAAAAGGTGGCAGCGTGTAACCCGTAGTAACATTCTAATTACCATCACCGTCCGTTACGGTAATGACAGGGAATTTGTCAGAGAGGACGGTAATACGTCAAAGATGACCTGCCAGGAATGAGCTCAGTCGTCTAATCCTTGTCTCACAGCTCCTCCTCATTACTCGTTCCTAAGACTCCCTTATACTAATTCCTGATATTCTGATGTCCCTTCTGTTTCATCTTTTAGAGCTTTTGTTAAGGTTAAGCCATTGAAATCTGTGCTTTCAGGCGTATTCCTGCCAACTGCATCTTCGGTGAATGGAAGACTTCTCCATTTATCACATACCTAGCCGGGATATCGACTGGCATTCGATTCAGCCAACCTTTTTCCAGCAAAATGCAAACAGGGATGTTAATGATGGGAAAGATCGTTCTTCCGTGAAGGAATCAAACGAAAAAAGTGAAACTATCAGGTGATTCCTTCTAATTACTTTGTCTTCTATGCCTTTTTATTTACCGGAGCTTTAGGTCTTTGCGTTTGCTGAACTTAATTAGTGTTACCCTGAATGTATCCCCTTCGATTAATTACTGTTATCCTGACTGCCTCTCATTTTCATCAATTCCTAGCACCAGTATACTAGTCGATGATCTCTGTTGCGCGTCTCTAAGAAGATAAGAAGGGACACAATAAGCCCTAAGGCAAAAAATGTTGTCAACCAAACATTCTTCGGAAACTCAAGGAGTAATCATGGGATCAGTGTCCTAACGTAATTAGAAAAAACTATTCAATATGTAATACAACATAAGGTACTTAGGGTGAGATCAAATTTCACTGTCTGACAACATATTAATTCCTTCAAATTTGCGCTTAAAACTAGCTTAGTTCGTAATCCTCAGAAACTTCCAAGTGAAAAATGAAATTTCTGCGTACAATCAATGTCAGATCAGTGGCATCAATTTTCGAGAGGGAAAAGTTTAATTTTCTTCGGTCTATGAATCTCTCGGGGAAAAAAGAAAAGTAGGAAGTGCACGAGAACCGATGACGAATAACAAACCTTTGATAGCAAAGTGATTCGTCACGAGATACGGTGGAGGTGGTTTGCCGCTCCTTCTCTTCTGACATGTGAATTCTGAAATGAGTATCAATTTTAAGCGATCATAGGTTTCTCTCAAATTCAAATGTTGAAGTTAATGTCTTAAACGGGACTTAAATCCGTACTTGTGCTACAGCTGTTTTGTTAGCTCCTGTTTTTNCTGAAATGAGTATCAATTTTAAGCGATCATATTTTTCTCTCAAATTTAAATGTTGGTGTCAATGTCTTAAACGGGACTTAAATCCGTACTTGTGATACAGCTGTTTTGTTAGCTCCTGTTTTTCGCAGCAGCGAAATAACAGCAGATAACGAAACATCAAATCAAAACAAATGTTAGTAGTAGAAAATAGAACAGCAGCTTTAATGAGGAAAAGAAGAAAAAACTAGCAGGGAAATTCCCTACCCTGCAGAAAAAATCATGTTATTATAGAGTTTTTTCAGCTCAGCGAGATAAACTAAAAGCAATGTTCATTTGCTCTCCCAGAGTCAGCTGCGATTTCCGACAAAGTAGCAAAATTTATCGAGTAACCTGAGAAATCACACAACAAAGAAAGAAAATTGAAAACAGTGAATAAAAAGCAGCAATAGTGGCTTAAACCCCCTGAATTCAATCGCACTTTCTCACGTTATTTTCTTTTCACAACTGTCAAATGCATGCGGCTGGAGAAGCGGCGCTAATGGGATATTAAATGAAAGACGGCTGGCACGTCAACAACAAAACGATTTCTTTGTTGGCGGTTTCTGTAAAATCCTTGATGGTTTTTTTCTTGTAATAGATGGGAACCGCCCAAAGTAGTTCACTCGCGGATAATATACTCTTGGAAGATAAAAAGTGAGTATTAGGAAAGTTGGTTTAACTTTTGCAAAATTCATTCTCCTGATTTCGCAAAAAAAAACTGCTAACAATTGAAATATAGTATATGCAGTCATGCATAAAAAACTACAGTTTCATCAAGGGTTGAATGGACGACACTTCACGAACAGAGTATATGTTTTGTTATTCCAATAATACAATTGAAATACGAAGTTGGTACGTAATTTCTTTTAAAATCTAAATAATTTTACTACTCTGGAACTTCTACAGTCTCAAATAAGGGAGAATTACGCATGGTAAATAATCATTGGGATTCAAAAATATTGAATATGTGATACGTATTGCATAG